GCCACACACGTGAGGGTATGGGGAACATATAAAATAGAATAGCGCATAAGCACATAAAACGTCAATTGTTAATTTGTTATTTTGATAATATTATTTTATTTTATATAATACTAATTAAAACATGGTAATTAAATTAATGTAATAACGATTTTGCATATTTTTGTGATGATTTCCTGCATTAAACCTAACGAGAAAAAATTACATTACAAATTGCAAGATTGTTCAATTACCCATTTTAACGTTTCTCACACAAATTAAATTGCTGCTTCATTTAAATCAGTTTGAATTAAAAAATGAATGTTTAATTGCCACCAAACTTAAAGAGAAAACATTACTAATAATTACAAAATTATTGAATTTCGTTTTCTAATGTTTCGTACACAAATTGAAGTTGTACTACAATCATGATTATAATGAAGTGTAATCACGTATTTTAATCAAGTGGGTAAAAACTACGACTACAGTAGTTTGAATTGAAAGATAAAAGTTTTATTTGCACTAAACCTAAAGAAAGAATATTTTTTCTAATTGCAGAATTATTGAAGTGCGCCCCCTGACATTTCTCACACAAATTAAATTGCTGCTACAATTTAATCGGCAAAATATCTCCTTAACGCCTTCTACCAAAAGCTGTATGACACGTTTTAATCTCAAGTACCACGTGCAGGATAACAAAATTTATTCACAGGTTTTTTTAATTAGAGGTAAAACGTTGGATACATCAATTTAATCACCGGTTAATTCTTATGGTAACACAGTTTAATCACAAGTTAAGGTAAAAACGTTAGGTAACGCAGTTTAGTTACAGGTTAAAACGTAAGATAATGCAGATTCATCGCAAGCGTTTTACCACAGGTTTATCACTCGTACGACGTTGTTTTTTAAAACGTTGCGAGTTTTTATGAAATCATGTGGATTACGGTCGCGCGACGAAATGCAACAAATACGGATTTGCCATCCACACGATGCCCAAAGTTCCATCCATAGACGGATCGGTAACGCCATCTGGTAGCCTGATGTCAAAGTTCTGCAGAATGCCTGTGAAGAATATGAACAGCTCCACTCGCGCGAGAGCCTCTCCTAGACAGACGCGACGACCTGTCGGCAAAATAACAAACGCCATCATCAGGGAGGTTTTTTGAATGACGATGAAGATATCAAATACGTAAAAAGATGTGATCACAATCGAATGGAATACAGCTGAAGCTCATGTCTGTGTAGGTTTAATAGCCACTTGGCAACATAAGTCTGAATATTTAATTTCCAGCTACTGCATTTCAATTAATAAGTGTAAGCACCTATGGGGGAAGTTAATAATAATAATCTGCTCCCAGAAGAGGTGTCATTAGCATCGCCCAATCAGCATCTCCCAAACCAACAACAGAATTAACAGGTGTCCCTATCGACGGCCACCGCTGCAGTCGTTTGACATATGACGTCACTCTCCTCTCCTCGACCCGGTGGCGCCAGCTAACGGCAGCGCTAGTAATTTTACCGATAGAGAACGGAATCAGTGCTTCGTTCTGCACAAAGTCTCCACGCTCGTCCAGGTGGCGCTCCGGGCGGAACTTCTGCGGTTCGGGGAAGTATTTCGGGTCGTTCAGGATGGCCGTAAAGTTAGCAAAGATATCCGTACCAGCGGGGATGACGTAGCCTCCTAGCTGTATCTCGGCGGTCGTGCTGTGAGGAAGATTCAGTGGCACGATGTCCGCTAGAAGCAATAAAGAAAAAAGTAGATGGCGTTCACACAGAGTATCTAGACATTTAGTAACCGCCCTCGTCTCGTTATGCACTGGTTCGTACATCTAAGGCAATTTGTTTATCCAGGCGTCCACCGACAGTTTTCCAAAAATTTTCAAAAAAGAAAAATAGATGATTATATTACCACGTAGCATGTATCGTCATTTAAACACATTCAAAGTGAATATACGTCACGAACCGCCTGGAGAACGTAGCGGTGGAAGCAGAGGATGTGAGGCAATATGCTTATACTTAAAGCTATTGACCTTTTCTTTTTCTCTTTGTCTCTATATCTGTCTACCCCCTTTCCCTTTGTCTGTCGCTCTCTCCGTTCCTTTCGCTGCCTCACCCCCTTTTTCTCCTTTCTCTCTCACTCTCTCTCGCTACCCCTCTTATATTTTTACTTTTCTCTTTTTGCGTACGCGTGATTTCTCGTGTATTGTTCATAAATCTATCGGTCACACCTAATCAGGCCTGCTGTCCATGAATGCCACCTACTGATGCATTCCACCTACTAACCACGCCGCCTTTCTTTCTCACCTACTCTCTGCACCTCGGCTATTGTCGCCCGCGAGTACGGCATGTTGTCCTGGTCCGCCATGCATGGTAGCCTTCCTCGTCCGATGACGTCATCGATCTCGGCCTGCACTTTCCGTAGAACGTGAGGGTATTTGAGCATGAAGAGCAGACCCCAGCGTAGCGTCGTCATGGCGGTATGCGATCCGGCGAGAAACAGATCACGCACAGAAATGAGCAGCTGAAAAGCTGAGAGATGACGCCGACATGAATAAGTGTGTGTGCGCGAGTTTATGTGTGTGTGTGTGTGTGTGTGTGTGTGTGTGTGTGTGTGTGTGTGTGTG